TGAAGAAAAAAGGTGATATATTATCATAATAACATTTGCTAACACCTATATAGCACCTAACTGGCAAACACTGTTTTAAGAACATCACATATACTGGGGCGCCTGGGTGGCTCAGTGGGTTAAGTGTCCAACTCTTGATTTTGGTTCAGGTCATGATCCCAGGGTAGTGGGCTCCATGCTGGGCACGGAGCCTGCTTGGGATTCTCTCTCTTCCTCTGCCCCTCCTCCATTCACTCTCCCCCTCCCTCTCTCTCTCAAAATAAAACAAACTTAAAAAAATGTAAAAATAAAATAAAAAGTTAATGTTTAAGAAAAAAAAAACATATATATATATACACACACACACACACACACACACACACTAACTCCTCTAATCCTCACAACCCAGAAAGTACTATTGTTATTCCAATTGTACCATGGACTGAGTACTAAAAGATTAGTAACTTTCCCAGGATCACAAAACTAACTGTGAAGCCCCAATGCATACATTTTTACTATTGTGCTTTTTGAGGACTTTATGTTTTCCTGGTGGAAATTTGCTTCTTAACTTGAAGGATTTTATTTCAATCACTTTTATGGGGGCAAGATTGTTTTTGTCTAATATTATGTGTGTGTGTGTGTGTGTGTGTGTACTAGAATAATCTGGAGCTAGAAAGGATATTAGCCATCATCAAATACCACTTTCATTTCTAGAAACTTCATACTCTACCATTTTCATGCATTGTCATAGTTTGGTATTTCCCAAATTGTGCAGCAGCATTAGAGAAATTGACTTGATTGTTCCCAGAGCTACCTAAAGTTGATGCTTATTTAGTTTACATGAACACTAATGACACTAATACACTGAGCAAGGCATAGAGGCAATGTGATAAAGAGAGCATTATATTCTAAGTCAGGATACCCGAATTCAGGACTTCACTCTACATCTCAGATTATCAGTTTTCCCATCTGCAAAATGAAGGGAGTGCACATTGGGGAAGACAGATGTGAGGTGCATATGTTGCCACACCCTGCTTCCTAACCCACAACTGACATTACTAATCATTCAAGGCATCTTTGAACCTGAACAGTTCCAGAATCCTTCCCAACATGGTGCTCAAAGCAGCTGATACAGTTAGTCACAGTTGGCACCCAAGTTGAAATCTATTTGTCATCTTTGGATAGGACAGTTTGTAAAGACTCTTCCAGTTCTAACTCCCAGACTATCAGAAACACCATCAGAAATATGACAGTGATGCCCAATTCAGTATGTATTTCAATCTTTCCAGTCTGTCTTTTCTGTAGGCTTTAAGTTTCCATCATATGGGGTCTTGGGACATTGATCTGCTCATATTCTACTACGACTCTACCAGCCTCCCTCATCTTGGCCTTTAGGCATCCTAGCACCCTTTGCAGAATGCTTTCCCCAATGAAATTTCCCTTCTTCATTCGTCCTTGATTCACACAGGCTCTTGGGCATGGAATCCCCTAACTTCTGGCAATGAAACATCTCCCCCAGCTTTGTGTGTTGCTGAATGCAGAGTTTTATAAACACAGGAAGTTCATACCTGCTCCCTGGCCACTCCCAGCACTTGTCTAAGCATATTCTTTCCTTACTGCCCTACCTGAGTTTCATAATTATTTGACTTCCCTCCTCCCTGATGATGAGTAACCAGGATAGTTGCTTAAAGCATTCATCTTCTGTTCTCAAACATGTACTTGTCTCTGAGTCTCCACATTGTATATTTCGGCATTGTGTATTTTATAATAGAGTTTACAGTTTTGCTTGGCCACTATTACCACTGTGTAATCCTACAGTTATAAATTGTGTAATTGTTTATGAGCATGCAGGAAAAAAAAAGATGATGTATTCGAGTCTTTAGATGCCTTCAGCTACTATTTTCAAGACTTGCATCCTAATGACTGTCAATTCAACACGCCCTTGTTTGCCATCCTTGCTCTTGAAGTCAGTGGGAAGGAATGCTGTGCTTGTTAAGGTAGAAACCAATTTGATCTGTTGGTGTATCATCTCAATGTGATCATTTTACATCTCATTTTACCACTTAATGCAACCAAGACATTTAGAGGCAAAGGTCTGGCCATGAGTACCTTTGTGACAATATTTTATTTTCTTCTACCTGGCAGCTGGAATCCAGAGTCTAGGACTGTAATTTCTAACTTTTGTGAAGATTGTTTTAAATTTTTTTAATGTTTCTTTATTTTTGAGATAGAGAGACACAGCGTGAGCTGGGAAGGGGCAGGGAGAAAGACACAGAATCCAAAGCAGGCTCCAGGCCCTGAGCAGTCAGCACAGAGCCCGATGCAGGGTTTGAACCCACAAACTGTGAGATCATGACCTGAGCCGAAGTTGGACGCTTAACCAGCAGAGCCACCCAGATGCCCTGAAGATTGTTTTAAACTTTGCTAACTTTGCTAAAAGGGACTAAAAGAATGGGTGATAACTTAATTTACTAGTTGCTGGCCATAATTTACTGGCAGTAATTTGTGAGAAGAAAAGCAGCCCTTAATACCAAATGACTAAACAGAGTATGTTGCAATCCCACCTGCAGTAGTGAGCCTATCTTCCTGGAAAAGGGAGTGAATGACCACAGCCCTTCCCCCCCCCCACTGGCACAGCTGCCATGTCCCCAGCTGGGTCTAGATAACATCCTGTTCTGCACCCTGAATGAACACAGTAGCCCAGGCTTTGCCAGACTGGGCCTGGCTCTTTCTAGCTCTTAATGTTTGGAATTGTTGTAAGATAACCACCTGTCTGATAGGGTTCAGGAAATGAGATGAACTGGGAGGGCAAAAAATAACACAAAACTTAGTCTAAGAATTATCCCATAATCTGTTGCAACTTTCTCTGTAGAATTATTCCAAATTTTACAAGTTCATTTAAGAACTATTATTAACCTTGGTCTTTTGCACTGTATTTTCAAGGATATTCCAAAATGTGAATATGATACTGGCAGGTGAGTCAGTGAGGTAGTTCTGATACTCATAATGAAAGAAGCACTGGCCAGTTGGCTGAGCGTCCGACTTTGGCTCAGGTCATGATCTCACAGTTTGTGGGTTCAAACCCAGCGTCAGGCTCTGTGCTGACAGCTTAGAGCCTGGAGCCTGCCTTGGATTCTCTGTCTCCCTCTTTCTCTGCTCCTCCCCTGCTTTGCGCTCTGGTCTCTCTCTTGAAAATAAATAAACATTAAAACAAGAAAGAAAGAGAGAGAGGGAGGGAGGGAAGAAAAGAAGAGAAAGGAGCACTAGTCATTGTCAATATTGTGCTCTTTTGCACTGATCATTTCAAAATACAGAATAAGTATAGGAAGAACAAGCTCGAGATTCAATACACCTGAGTTAGAAATAAAACTGCAAGCATGAACCCTTGAGTGATAAGGACAAGTTAGCAGGTGTCAGGGATCTGTGCATGAGCTTGACCTCTGAGCTGCACCTCATTTCTGACCCAAAGTAATATAGAGACTATGGGTGTTTAACATCCCTAAACTTCAATTTGCTTGGCCTTAGAATGGGGATAACACAAGTACCTGACTCAGATAATTGTGAGACTAAAGAAAATATGTAAATTGCTTGATGTAGGACCTTACATAGGACTTGTTAGAGGGCCTTATGGGGGGACTTTGGCAAAGAGTGGAGATTACTACTATGGCTTCCAACACTGAGGAAAGAAAAGTTCACTCTAGATCTTGTCTCCACTGTCCATAAAATAAAGTTCACATTCCTTAGTGTGACTTCTAAAGCCAACTTTATTTTATGTGAGCAGCTCAATTTCCTGCAACTATTATGCTTGCCCCCTGAACTACATCTGCAGTGAACTTTACAAAGCTACCCCTGTTTTCTCTGCCCCACAGTCCCTCATTCTTCAAGATCTTGCTTAAATGCCCCTTCCCTGGGAAGCCATTTCCAACTCTCCCATAATGTTCCCTATCCCTCCCTTCTGTGTACCATAGAAGTATACCTGTCCCCATCACAACTCATCTCCTTGTACTGCTATTACTTGTTTACCTACCTGGGACCTTTGCTAGGGGTAAAGATCAGAAGATCAGAAATCACTACTTCTTAATTTTCCATCAGACAGAACTTTATAGTTCTAGTACAAATACCCTCCACTCTGCCTTTCATGTGCTGAATTTTTGCTCAAGCAATGAGAAATTGCTTATATTCTTCATATCCTTTTGAATATTAGCAGAAGCTGAAGAAAAATAGCCTGGCTGTGTCCTTATAACCTCAACACAGTCGGTAGGATGAAGAAAATCAGACCACAAGTTAGACCTATGTCAACTCTTAACTTGTCCTCTCAGGATGGCTCCAAGTCTGAATCTCCCAAGGAACACATTTCCAGGCAGTACTGGAATACAGAAAGTAGGGGACGGCATTCACTCAGGTCTTATATCAGTGCCATACTCAGCAGGGAGCAGTTCTATCCATTTTGGGAAATCTCCATAATTTTCAACTTCTGAACTTTTTAAGACCTTTCTGCATTTTTACGTGTGTGTGACTTGAGTGGTGTGATCAATGTTTCTGTAAATATTTACTGTTTTTCTATTTCACTTAAAGCCAGCAGTTTTGTACTTTAATAAAATGTTCTATTCCCTCTCTCTCTGCCCCTCTTCTGCTTGTGCCCTGTCTCTCTCTCTCAAAAGTAAATAAACATGTTTAAAAAATTTTAAAAATGTTCTAAACATTGCAAAAAAAAAATCACTGCTTCTTCCTCTTTGTAATCTCTTAGTACTTGACACATAGTTGGCGCCAAAAAAAAAAAAAAATGATGAATCAAATGAACAAATAGTAGTAGAAGGACTGTGGAGACTCAAAATTATGTTTTGGAAGATAGCTAATGAAAATGTATGTTTAGTTACGTATTAAAGCCTCATTTAATTAATAGAAGTAAAGATCAGTATTATCAGATCACATTTTATTTACTTCTGCTTCATATGTAGAACACATTTAATACTATTCTTTGAGGACTGATCTCACCTTTTCGTTGTTCTGTCATCCCTCAGGTTCTAGTTTCAGATACCCCTTGACATAACTTTTGAACTATCCGGAAAAATACTGGCCAGGAAAAATGATAAAATTTTTCCTCATGGTGAATAAACAAGGGCAGACCCGACTTTCTAAATACTATGAACATGTGGAGATTAATAAGCGTACACTTCTGGAAACGGAAGTCATAAGGAGCTGTCTCTCCCGATCCAATGAGCAAGTAAGTTTCTGATTCTCTCTTTTATCTCTGTATTCAACTTGTCAGTGGCAGGTCTGTTATTACTGAGTCTCGAGGGCCATCGTTTTCTTTGAACTACATTCTTTCCATAGCTATTAGGGAAAATAACAAATGAAGTGACATGAAGATTGAAGCATAGCTCTCTTTATATCCCCTTAAGGAAAATACAAACAAGGAGAACCAGGAAACATCTTGAGTTCTTATTTAGGCCAGCATATTTGTCTCAATGCACTGTGGAAGTGGCAGCTCAAATTTATTCCAGCTAATAGACATATCTTCTTTTTTTTGTTCATATGAATTTAGCCCTTACAACTCTCAGGAGTGCCTCTAGCAGGTGGCTTTCTTTAAGCCAAGGGATGAAGGTCAGATGATTGGTATAGAGGTGAGCACTCGAGACAGACTTGGTGCCAGAGGATGACAATATGATCCTCACGTGAAGTGTAATTTTTTTTCTGCTTATCGTTTTTATAAATTTAACACCAATGTAATACGAGAACTAGTGACTTAAAAACAAAACAAATTTGGGGTGCCTGGGTGGCTCAGTTGGTTAAGTGTCTGATTTCAGTTCAGGTCATGATCTCACGGTTCATGGATTAAGCCCCTCGTCAGGCTCTGTGCTGACAGCTCAAAGCCTGGAGCCTCCTTCAGATTCTGTGTCTCCCTTTCTCTCTGCCCCTCCCCTACTTGCACTCTGTCTCCTCTCTCTCTCTCAAAATAAATAAATAAATAAATAAATAAACTTTAAAAAATAAAATAAAAAAACAACAAATTTGATTGGAACTTGTGTTATGATGTAGATGGAGTAAGTGGAAGTTAAAAATTAATAGAAAATAGTAAATCTATCCATTCTGTCAAAATTGAGGTTAAATAAAATCATTAAAATAATAACGAATAGGAATTTTAAAAACTGAGTTCATTTTTACAAAGAAGTTTAATTGGATAATTACTGAATCCAGGTCCTAAACTTTGAGTCCACTGAAAATCACTGAACAAAGTGCAGCAAACTCAGAAAGCTTGTTTAAATCGCCCATTAATTTTGCCACTTTTCCATTTCACAGCATATGTAGAAAGGCTGCCTGTGGGAACCCCTGCTAAGTCTTAAAATATTAAGGTCCATCTGTGCTCAGAAGTTACATGTTGGAACTGTGTTTCCCTTGGCTTCTAAATTGATTTTCCAGTCTCAACATCTCAGAGTCCTCTTTGAATTACCACTTTGGCCTGCCATGGCACACACCGCCTCATTTAGTTGTCTAAAGGGAACAGAAACTATTAAAGGGCCGTGTTAATAGCCACATACTTTAAGTAAACATAAACAAACTCCAGAAGCATTCCTGTTGAATCTTTCTGCAGAATGCAGGCGCTGCACAATTTCAGGCACTATTTTCACTGATAGGTTACCCTTGGAAATACATGCTTTGGAATGAATATACTGTTACATAATTTTGAAGCATTCTAAATTATTTTAGATTTTAAAAGGAACTCCCTGGGCTTTGGGATAATTAGGCACTGAAGTAACACAATCTCAGCTTAGTTTTTATGTTATCCACAAAGGTACTTCGTTGTTTTGTTGTTGTTGCTGTTGTTTTGTCTTTTTGTTGTTGTTGTTGTTGTATGTCAGAAACTCCTGAGAGGCTTTGAAAAATGTTCTTTAGTTCTTTCAACAAGGATGTATTTCCTTGAAAGATCCAACTGAGCAGAAATCACACTGGCTCTACAGTGAACAAAAGCTGCAGAACAGTCCTGTACTTCTTTTATCATAATTTTATTTCTTTTTTTTTAATTTGAGAGAGAAGGAGAAAGGGGGAGGGACAGAGAGAGAGAGAGAGAGAGAGAGAGAGAGAGAGAGAATCTCAAGCAGGCTCCATGTTCAGCGCACAGCCCGACATGGGGCTTGATCCCACAACCCTCGGATCATGACCTGAGCTGAATTCAAAAGTCAGATGCTCAACTGACTGGGCCACCCAGGTGCCCCTATCCTAATTTTAAATAAGAGCCTCAAATGCCTCCATTTTAGATTCTCAAATGACTTTCCTATGGAAGAAATTTCACAATTAAAACTTACCACTTCATCTCCAGGTACACCAAGAGCAATTCGGGCACCAAAAGCGATTATGCCAGTGCAAAAAGCCATACAGTTCATGTTCAATCACATTTGGTCAACCACACCCAACAGTCCAAAGAAAGGGCAACAATGTGCTGTTAGCCTGCTGTCCAATTTCTATCTACCCAGTGTACCCTTTGTACAATGGATGTAGGAGAGAGATGAATGGGGAGGGAGTTGTTTTATCCACAAGTCAGTGGTGGTAAACTAGTTATTAACTCCTAGGAAGCAATGTTTACATGGGAGATTTTGACTATCATCTGCCCCACAAAAGCCAAGATTTTAAATAATTTATAAAAGAGTCTACATTGATTCTTTTCATGGGTCTAGAAAAAAGAAATCAAGATTTTTCTTGATACATACATGTATGTATGCCGTATATATTTGGCTGTTCACTGGCTATTAAATAGGACAAAACTAAATCTCTGCTTCCAAAAGAGCCTAGCGGAAATGGAAAGAAGAAAATCTTTGTCATGTTGGCTTATTTTCATGTTGGGGGCAGTCTGGTACCTTTGCCTGCTGACTTCCACACAGAGCAAAGCAAAGGAATGAGAAGGAGTTCAGGGGGAACCCATGTGGATGCTCAGAGCCTTTTTTTCTAGACCCCTTCTCTGCCTCCCGCTAGAGATGCTTCCATAGTCCCCTGAATATTGTGAAGAGGCAACCAACAAAGATTGTTTAACATTTTTAAATTGTAGATTTCTAGGAATGTGTTGACCCAATACTGAAATCAGAACCTAGAAATTATGCATGCCATTTTGAAGAAATACTTGTTGTCAGGGCACCTGGATGGCTCAGTCATTTGAGCGTCCGACTTCAGCTCAGGTCATGATCTCGCGGTTTGTGGGTTCAAGTCCTGAGTCAGGCTCTGTGCTGACAGCTCAGAGCCTGGAGCCTGCTTCGGATTCTGTGTCTCCCTCTCTCTCTGCCCCTCCCCTGCTCATGCTCTGACTCTGTCTCTCAAAAATGAATAAACATTAAAAAAATTAAAAATACTTGTCAACTATAGCAATTAATATCTAATTGTGTTTTTTCTAGTGCTCTTTCATTGAATTTAAGGATTTTAAGCTGATTTATCGACAGTATGCAGCTCTCTTCATTGTGGTTGGAGTTAATGACACTGAGGTAAGATAAGAGAGGAGCCTATGGGAAATGCAAGAAAACTAAGAATAATAGTCTGATTTTTATTCCTCCGTAAATTGATATATTCCTCCCTACTTGCCTACCTAAGAATTATCTTGACTCTTGAAGGATCTTGGTTTCTGTCAAGGTTAGGGAAAGCTGTGCGGAAAAGAAATACCTGGAATTTTTCTTGGATTAGATGAGTAGCTTGTGGGGAAGCACAAAACCACAGAATGCCTTCCTCAACCCTAAGCAATACCAATGTCTTACCGTGTTCTTTGTGGCACACTGGGGCAGCTTAGACATGTGTACAGGCCAGTCAGTTGTAGCGTTAAATATAGGCTCATATACAAGAAGCCAGAGCAAATGATAAATATGGTTGTGTTGTGATTGAATTTCCTCCGATTTAGTTCACCTTTCCAGAAATGTCAGTCCCAGATCAACAGTACCTGTGGCTATTGAATCCTTGAAAAACTGTTTAAGATCTAAAATACTTGGAAATCTCAAGTTGATTATTTTTTTATGTGTGAACCAAACCTTGAGGTAGTTTCCCCATCTTCACAAACAGAAAAGTAGTGGCATGAAGATCCTAAAAAACTGCTTCAGCCGCTTGATGACGAGGTCAGGGAGTAGTGCTCAAAACCCTAAACACTAGACTCGGCCTGGTTTCAGTCCAGCTAAACTCATTATGAACTTAAAATCTTAGAGGTTAAGATTTTTGACATTTCCCCTACCGATAAGCGTCTTTCCAATAAGTGAGTCATAGAACCATTCTGAATATTTGTCAGTGTCCAATTTCCACATGAGCTATACTAAACCTAATTGTACCCTTCCTTTTTTATTTTAGAATGAGATGGCAATTTATGAATTCATCCATAACTTTGTGGAAGTTTTAGATGAATACTTCAGCCGCGTGGTAAGTCTAAAAACTAAAAAAATGGTTTTTGTCTTCAGCCCAACTTCCCAGAAATAGGTCTATATCAAGAACACATGTTAATATAGAACTTCAATGTGCAAAAGTTAAAACTCAAATGAGGCCACATTTTCTTTACCTTTCCTTCTGGCTCATCAAAGTGTTACAAACCTATATGTGCCTTAGATCTTTATAAAGACTTAGTTCTGCAAGACTGAGAACCTCTTATGTCTTTCTTTTAATTAAGAGACTTTGCTATTTAATTTATTCTCCCTCTCTCTTTTTTTATTTTGCTTTCCCTCCTAAGGCACCAGGACCCTTTTTAGTTTAGGAATCATTTCTATCCAAACCCTTGCTTTGATGGTCAAAACCAACTCCCCTTAAGGAACACATGAGTTCCTTCCCCAAAACCCCTTTTTAAAAAAATGAAATGAAAACAAAACAAAACCCCAGCTGTATTAAAATATAATTTACATACCCCAAAACTCACCCATTTAAAGCATGCAGGCCTTTTTGGGCACCTGGCTGACTCAGTAGGTAGAGCGTGTGACTCTTGATCTCGAGGTTTTGAGTTTGAGCCCCACGTTGGGTGTAGACATTACTTAGAAATAAAATCTTAAAAAATAAATTAAGTAAAATAAAGTTTATAGGTTTTAGTATTTACACGAGTTGTGCAACCACCACACAGTCAATTTTAGAATATTTCCTAACCCCAAATAAACACCATACCTATTAGCATTTCCTTCCCAGTGATCCCCCTCCACCTGCTCCAGGTCTACTTTCTATCTCTATAGGTTTGCCTGTTCTAGACGTTTCATGTAAATGGAATTGTATAATATGTAGTCTTTTGTGACTGGCTGTTTTTACTTAACATAATGTTTTCAAGATTCATCCATGTTGTAGCAGGTATCAGTACTTCTTTCCTTTTTATTGCCAATTAATATTCTGCTATATGGATATACCACATATTATTTATTTATTCATTAGTTGATGTATATGTGGGTTATTGATACTTTTTGGCTCTTATGAATAATGCAGCTTTGAACATTTGTGTAAATATTTTTGTGTGGCATCATAGTTTTAGTCTACCTAGGAGTGGGATTGCTAGGTGATGTGATAATTCCATGTTTAACATTTTGACGCACTGCCAAACTGTTTTCCAAAGTGGCCGCATGATTTAAATTCTCTTTAACAGTGGTTGAGGGTTCTAATTTCTCCATGTTCTTACCAAAGTTTGTTATTATCTTTTTGATTATAGCCATCCTAGTGGGTATGAAGTGGTATAGAGGCCAATCAATGGTGGTTTTGATTTGCATTTGACTACTGGACAACAAACATTGAGGAGCTTTTCATGTGTTTATTGGCCATTTGTATATCTTCTTTGGAGAAAAAGTCTTCAAATCCTTTGCCCATTTTTCACTTGCACTATTTGTTTTTTTGTTGAGTTGTAAGAGTTCTTTCTATATTCAGAATACAAATCTCTTTGAGTGAATTGATTGAATACAAAAACAAGTCTATTTGATTGAACTAACTTGAGTACCTATCAGATATAATTTTAAAATATTTTCTCCCCTTCACTGGCTTTCTTTTCACTTTCTTGATAGTGTTCTTTGAATTACAATAATTTTTAATTTTGATGAAGTTCAATTAATTTTTCTTTTGTTGCTTATGTTTTTGGTGTTATGTCTAAAAAGGCTTTGGAGCACCTGGGTGGCTCAGTTGGTTCAGTGTCTGACTCTTAATTTCACCTCAGGTGATGATCTCAGTTCCCTAATGTCATGAAGATTTACTCCTGTGTCTTTTATTAACTCATACACAATTTCTTGTCTTCAGGTTTGTTGAAGCAATAAGTCAGGCAACATTTGCCACCATAATGTCTGTCAAAGTGGCTAGCACCATTCATCTGAAGAGCACTCCTGACAAAGGGACTGATTTTGACATTCTCATCCAACTTACAGTATTTCAGGATGGCCAGTTTAACCTTCTTTCTCTTATGCTTATTCTTCTTGGAAGTGGTGTTTAGACTTCTTCCTTTTCTTAGCACCACACAAAGTCTCAACACAAGATGAAGAGTGGGCTCCTTTTGTAGTTGTAGTCAGAGTATATCCATCTTCTGGTTGCTTCCAGCAAAGATCAGTCTCTAATGACCAGGAATTCCTTCCTTATCCTGAATCTTGGCCTTCACATTTTCTGTTGTATTTGAGGGTTCAGCCTCAAGAGTGATGATCTTCTCCATAAGGGTTTTCACGAAAATCTGCATCCTGGTGGTGGTTCCAGATGGCAGATTGGAAAAGCTTGAGTAATTTTTGTATATGCTATGAAGTGGGGTCTAACTTCATTCTTTTGTATGTGGCTATCCAATTTTCCCAACACCATTGGTTGAAAAGACTGTTCTCCACCACCCTCTTAGTGAATTGTCTTGCACCCTTGTTAAAAATCAGTTGACCACAAGTGTAAGGATTTACTGAGGCACTTGGGTGGCTCAGTCTTTTGAGCATCTTAGTTTGATTTCAGCTAAGGTCATGATCTCATGGTTCCTGAGATCAAGGCCTGAGTTGGGTTCTGTGCTGACAGTGTGGAGCCTGCTTGGGATTCTCTCTCTCCCTCTCTCTCTGCCCCTCCCCTGCTCATATTCTCTCTCTCTCTCTCTCTCTCTCTCAAAATAAATAAACATTTTCTTAAATTTTTTTTAATGTTTATTTATTTTTGAGACAGAGAAAGACAGAGCATGAATGGGGGAGGGTCAGAGAGAGAGGGAGACACAGAATCCGAAGCAGGCTCCAGGCTCTGAGCTGTCAGCACAGAGCCCGACGTGGAGCTTGAACTCACAGACCGCGAGATCATGACCTGAGTCGAAGTCGGATGCTTAACCGACTGAGCCACCCAGGCGCCCTGATAAACATTTTTAACCAAAGAGCACATGTTAAAAAAAAATAAAGAATCAGTGAAGGTGTTTTACTCTGCTCCCATAGGCCTTCCTGAGCCTTAGTTAGATATTCTTGAGAGGTAGTAGTGGCACAAGCTGAGTTTTCAAAGTTGTTATGTTCTTTCATTTTGCTTTAAAAATTTTTTTAAATGTTTATTTATTTTTGAGAGAGAGAGACAGAGCATGAGCATGAGCAGGGGAGGAGCACAGATAGAGAGGGAGACACAGAATCCAAAGCAGGCTCCAGGCTCTGAGCTGGAAGCACAGAGCTCAATGTGGGGCTCGAACTCACAAACCATGATATCATGACCTGAGCCCAAGTCAGATGCTTAACCGACTGAGCCACCCTGGCACCCTTCTTTCATTTTGCTTTTAAATAAAAGGATTTGGAAGAAACTGTTTCTAGGCTGCTTCTTCCTGAGGCAGTGAGTGAAATCTCCAGAATAAGTAATATTGAGTTCACTAAAGCCTGCTAAGGGCAAAACTCATATTAAGAAGTTATATCTTCAGCCTAACTCCTAATACCAGAATTGTTTGGCAAATTCCCTCTGCATGGGACAATCAACTAGCCTGTCTTCATTGCCTTAGTGCAGTGGTTTTCAAAGTGGTGTTCCCAGCGACATAAACATCACCTGGGAACTTACTAAAAATACAAATTGTGGGCCCACCTCAAAGTGTTGAATCAGGAATTCTGGGTTGAGGTTCAGCAATCTGTGTTTTAACAAGCCTTCTGTATGATTCTGATGCATATTTAAATTTGAGACCCACTAACTTAATGCATGAGGCTTACTGTCAGCCACTTCCTCATTCAGGGGTTGGATCTTGGAATTGCCTCGTGGCCTGCAGGATGGCAGTGCATCTAGTTAGGAAGGAAGTAGTGCTGAAGCTGGAAGATGGCAAGGAGTCAGGCCTTTCCAGACTGGCCTTGAGGAGACAGGGGCCACTGAGGCTGGCTTTAAACTCCATGTTCGTGTTGACTGCTTGGAGAGGATGCCATAAATCAGCACTGACCAATATAACTTTCTGCAGCAATAGAATTGTTCCATGCGTGTGTTATCCAGTACAGTAGGCACTAGCCATGTATGGCTTTTCAAAACTTGAAATGTGATTACTGTAAGGGAGGAAGTGAGGAATTTAATTTTAATTCATTTAATTTACCACAATGATGCTAGTGGTTACCATAGTAGACAGCACAGCTCTAGCTCCTGCTTAATCCTGACAACACTGTCTTACTTACTTACTTATTTATTTTTGAGAGAGAGAGAGAGAGAGAGAGAGAGAGAGAGAGAGAGAGGCAGAGAGAGAGGCAGACAGAGGATACCAAGCAGGCTCCACACCATCAGTGCAGAGCCTGAAGCAGGGCTCAACACAGGGCTTGAACTCACGAATAGTGAGATCATGACCTGAGCCAAAATCAGGAGACACTTAACGGACTGAGCCACCCAGGCCCCCCTGACTCCCACTGTCTTAAGACAGACTGGTTTGCAAGTCAGGGTCTGTGATTCAGAGCTGGCCATGTTCAGCCATTTTAAGGCAACACCTATCAAGAAGAATAACATTTCCCAAAAGAGTAATGTTTTAAACCTGGGATGATAAGAGTGAGTACAAGGGCTATCATTGCTAAGGTTTTTGAAATTATTATTATTATTATATTCAGTGACTGAGAATAAATAGCACATTGCTGAATTCTTGCTGTAATTCTGGGAAGAGAGTCAGTGACCACATAAACCACAGAAGTGAAGATTAGAATTTAATGTAAACTGGTGATTACACAGGACTCGGACAGTACTGGGAGATGACTCAGTTTAGGATGACAGTAGCAGAAAGGAGAGAAAAGCGGAGGGAAAAGAATACTATGGGAAAGAAAATAGAATCTGTCCCACTCAAAGAATGCCTTGTCATCTAAGATTTATTTTTAGGTTTGTGAGTTTTAAACATTCTTTCTGAGGCTATTTTTAATCTTAGTTTCCAAATCTTAAATTTGGAGATCAGTCTCATGCTGTCTGGGCTGAAGGAAGCATCTCAGCATCACGTTTCAAAACAAAAAGCCAACCCAGTTAGCTTCAACGGAGGCAGTTTTGCAAGAGAGGACGGTGGCTGTTGAGGTGGGCTCAGCATTTTCAGTCCTTCACTTGACAAACCCGAAGTCCTTCCAGATACAAATTTAACTCTGTTTACTTTTTTCTCCCTCTATGACTTTTATTTTAAATGTTTATTTACTTTTGAGAGAGAGAACATGAGCAGGGGAGGGACAGAGAGAGAGAGAGAGAGAGAGAGAGAAGATCTGAAGAGAGAGCCCAACACAGGGCTCGAACTCCCAAACCGTGAGATCACCACCTGAGTGGAATTTGGATGCTTGACCAACTGAGCCACCCAAGCACCCCAACTTTTTTATGATATAAACATCTATGATCACTAAAAAAAATTAAAAATACATATAAGCAAAAAGAAAGGGGAGAAGATCATGAGTAAGTTCATGAACTACTGATAGATACTATTAGGTACATTTCCTTTTAGACTTTATGTATCTGTCTATATCCAACTATATCTGTATCTATCTTTACATATACATATATCCATGGGATAATACTGAATATACCGTGTTGTAACTTGCTTTTATTTAACAATGTCAGTACTTATATATCTGTATCCTCATTTGTGGATCTGCTATAATTTATTTAACTAGTCCCCCCTTGATAGATACTTAGCTTGTTTTCAATAATTTGCTACTATAAACAACATTACCCTGAACATCCGATCACACATTGTTATGCTGTTATCTAATTATCTCCTTAGGATAAACTTCTAGAAATAAAACTGATGGATTCAAAGGGTATGCATATTATTAAGGCTTTTGATACACATATCAAATTAGCTACGCGTCATCTGAACAGGTTGAGTTAGTCTAGTCCCTCTACCTTTCAAAGATGAATTGTTCTGGTTGGCAAAATTCCTCTAAACTGCAGCCTGTTTTTCTTCATAAAGAAAGCACAAGCCCAGACTCCGAGCCTTCCTGCTCTCGCGCTTCTATGTACAGAGCTGCGTCCCCCACCTGCTCCCTGGCTTGTGGCCAGGGCAGCTGCTAACTGCTAAGCGCACGTGTCCCAGGGGCTCATTCTCATCCTTGTACTCTTTTCTCTTTTCCAGAGTGAATTAGATGTATCCTTTTTCAAAGCCATGAGCCAGGTTTTCCTCAGTACTTGGCAAAGCACAGGCTAGTCCTGATCAGGTAAGTGCCCTGGGTCAGGAAAACAATTCAGCAGAATCCAGTATGCCGATCATCAACAACCAACAAGGTAGTCAGAGGTATGTAGCAGCTTTGCAGAAACAACCCTGCCCTTTTTTACAAAGATAATTTTTGTTATGATTTTTCTATTTTTCAGACATGGCAATACTATAGTAGTAGTTGATAATAACTGATATATAATAGTGTAACTTCTTTTAAGCATATAGAATAGACCTTTCCAGAATCTAACACAGCCAGAAAGTGCTTGGTCCTCCTAGAGAGAATGGATTTTCATGGCTCCAGGTATAAATCTCCAGAAATCCCCCATGTGATCAGAATAAGGCCTTCAAGGATGATAAAATGGAGGGTTAAAGAAATTGCCTGACTTGTATCCATTTACTTTTATAGCAGAGAAAGCTCTCCTTTTCTTCACTTTCTTCTCCCTTTTAAATCAAAGTATGCCAGGGCCTCCTCAAATAAATATTATTTGCTTCAAATACTGCAGACCTGTGGATTTCAGCAGGGCCCCCTGGGCTTTGTAAGTACTCTGAGAAGCAAGTGGACATTTTAAGTTAATTTTTACTACAAAAATCTGCATACCATTTGAAAACAATAAATGAAAGAATCCACTGGGAAAACATCAGGCTTAAATCTAGAATAGTAACATTAAAATAAATATATATTAATTATAACATGTTTATATATCTATATCTATACCACACACATATCCATTAGACTGGTATATTTGGGGGAAATGGCCATTTAGCGTTTACTGTTGATAGAAAATGTCATCATGTTGATGACAAATTGGAGGCTGTATCTGGGAGCCTCTTTAAATTGACTGAGAAAATCTGAGTGCCCTCTAGTGGTGAGTGACCTAAATCTATGCTCCCTTTGACCTAGGACACCCAAGACCAGGCCGTGTATTAAGGTGTTATTTTTATTCAGCATGTTACATTCCATTTTAAGTAAGCCCTTTAAAGCAACTCACAATAAATCTCTTCCTCTTGTACAGGGGAATAATAAAAATTCCTTTTGATTTAAAAAATCATCAGAAAGATGGCCAAAGCTGTTAAGACACTTCATTAGGAGTACAGAAACCCAAGTTCTGCTTTCAAACCTGCCACCAAACTATATGTGTTGGACAAGACACATAACCCCTTTATTTCAAAATAAGAGAATTAGGCTAGAAGAGCTTTAATTCCCTCTCGGCCTTAGTATTTGATGTTGCCATGACTCTAAGTGAGCTGAGTTACCTTACACCTAGAACAGGAAGAAAGAGTCTAACTGGTCTAGAAGTTCAGAAAATTAAAGTGAGTCAGATAGAGTACGTATTATAGCTGAACTTGTTGTATTGATGTGTCTTACGTACTAACTACAGGTAGAGACGGGTTTGTCTTTATAACCCTCTGGGGTATAACCTAGCTCCAAGTCATGAGCTCCACCATTCTTTCTCTTTTCTTTTTTCTTAAAGATTTTATTTTTAAGGAATCTCTACACCCAAAGTCACAACCCTAAGATCAAGAGTCGCATGCTCTTCTGACTAAGCCAGCCAGGTGCCCCGAGCTCCAGTATTCTTGTTCAAATTTAATTTCCACACCAAGGCACACAGTTTGTATTCTTTCCCTCTATTTTACTTAGTTTCATTTTTGCCTTCCCTTCGTTTCTACCTTATTTTTTTTTTTAATTGAAATACAATTAACTTACAAGGTTAGTTGCAGATGTACCTCTGACTAACTGACATTTCACTGGCCTTAGGAATTACTTAGGCATATCCACCTGAAAGATTAGGAATTTTGCGTCGGTAAGAGAAGGGAACTAAGTCTTTCCAGACCTGGCAGTGTATGCCTTTGCTCCAGGCATAATTTCACATGGACTTCTGGTGGCCTAAAAGTGGAACGGGTAGCAGGGCTGGTAGGATATGAGATACCTGTCTTCTATTAACATTTTTAAAAGATTTCCACCCTCAGCCATCTGAAAAAAAATCTAATTAAAACCCATGTCTTTAGTCTGCCTCATACATAGTTTGTTTTTTTTTTTTTTAACTATCATGGGTCCAGGGAAGACCGCTACATGCCAGTTTCATAACAGTAAGACAAGGGAGCCTGTTGGAGATGCAGCCTCAGTTTCCTGCCCCCTTCTCTGTGCAGGACCATAGGTGTTCTGCATCACCACCCTGGTAGCCTGTAACCAGGAAGCTGCTGAAGCAGCTAACATTGTTTAGGTCTGCTGTGCCAGGAAAGCTTCCTCAGGCCTTGAAAAGCTGAAAACAAGCAACTTATAATCACTGCAGCCTGGAGCTGGTTCTCCCAACACTCAGAACACCCATCTTTGTGCTTGCTTGGGCTTAAGAAAGCTTTCCTCGTCCGCCCACAGGAAACAGACATGTTTTTAGGCTTGGCTTTGGTGCAGCACCCGGAGGATGGAAGTCAAAACCTCACGGAATTCCCAAGAAGCCCTTTACTTGCAAGCTTTTCCTCCAGAAGCTTTATCAGCCTGAAGCACCTTAAGAATGGGGCAGCTTTCCAGAATCCACCTGTTTAGACTTTGAGAAATAAAATGCACCATTTGTATACAAGCCCTAGAATGGGCCTGTTCTAGTAGGACTAACATCACAGAACATGACAGATGAGATTTTAAAAAATGACCTAAGCACAAGAAATCAGGACAGAAATTCCGGCTTCTTGAAAACCCTTCCACTAAATGGAAACTGTGTGTTGCATTTAGTGTCAAGAGGGGCAGACTCTTACGACCAAGCATGTCAGTGACATAAATCATTCACGTGCAGTGCAGAAGTTCCTATACACTCTTCGCGATCTATTCCACCTGCTGGGTTGAAATGTTGGCCAGAGAATTCCTGAGGCCCTGCTTCTTTAGGGAAAGTTTGCCCTATCACTCTAGTAGACTTATTTAAGACTTCCCATTCTGTGAATGAAGATGGTTTTTAGGAATCAACTAATGAGCTTCTCCAGATGTGTTCAGCTATGTAGCCCCAGGTTTGCTGAATTCTCCAGACAAGTGATAATTCAAAGGAGCTGTCTCCACCTGCTTTGGTAAATAGGGAATGGCACCAGTGAACAGTGCTGTGTGGGAGATGCCCAACTCCTCCTCAGTTCAGTGCATACTTACGGTATGTGTGAATGTACAGAAAACCTTAACAGCCTTTTTGGTATTTGGTGCCTTTAAAGAGGCTTAAAGACCTTGGTTTATTTGGGCTAGAGTAGAATCCAGGAGTGCTATCTTTAGACTTCAACAACTAGCGTCCCTTTCCTGGGTCCTGTACTTTAGAGGGCAATACTCTGGCTCTCCTTCAGGAACATCTCTCTCTCCATGGGGTGAGGATGCTTATCCAGAGCCTGCAGGTACCCAATCCACTTCTTGACCACCCTTCAGCTACCTTGGTCCCCAAAACTCACTGGGTACCCATATACCTGAGCTTGCTGCTAGCAGGACTGGTATAGACCTCTCCCCAACCCTTACCCCAGGACTGGCGGGGGTGGGGGTGAGGGGTGGGGGGCAGGAATGACAGACAACCTGGGATAGTAGCTGGGGAACAGGCTGGAATCCCTATTTATATTGCAGTGCCACCTATACCATAAATATAGGGTAGGCCTAGAATCCAGAATGTTTTTCTTGATTCAAAAATATCTTTTAAATAAATCTTTATTTTCTAAGTCCTTAAAACCCAAAAGCCTGAGCAGTTCTAGAACCTTAAAGCTCACGTGGGTGATGTGAAAGTACCTCTTTATCGCAGTTGAGGGTGGGGGAGAAGGAAGGGCTTCCCTGCATCCTGCTTGCACTCTCTGTGACTCAGCTAATTTTCTACCATGGTGCTCCCTGGAGGAATGAAGGCACCCAGGCAGCACTAATCAGCACCACCAAGATTTGCAGTCAGGCCCTGATTAGGGCCCAGAGCCCACTGTGGGGCATCAACCTCTTGTTCCTTCGTTACTATCCTAAAATTACAAACACCTTTAGAGGTCCAGAAACAAGAATAGGGCTTCTCTGATTAGGAGATAATTTCAAACTGATTTAATGAGAAATCACAAAAGCACTTGTTCAACTAGGGGCTTTGGAAATGCTGGTAAGAAAAACAAAGTTCTCCAGGGAATCCCTCCAACACCACAGTGGTAGCTTCTAAATAAACTGAAATTGTCTCCATGTTCTGTCAGAAAGTCACAATAATAAATTAAGTCATTACCAAAAGATTTCTTTTGAGGTATTATGGAGTATGTGATTACATCAGGAATGGCTTGATATTGTCAGAGAGGAGTAAACTAGCTCCCCTCTTCCTGAAGGTTAGAGTCCTAGGATTTGAGTACTTTGGAACTAGAAGAAAACTACACAATCAACAGGTTAAAACCTCATTTTTTAGATGAAAAGGCTGAAGCCCAGAGGGGTTCTGTGACATGTCCCAAAACATAGGGCTACTTTGGGACACAGCTGGTACCAGTCTCTGGGTTTCCAGGGCCCTTGACTCCATGGCTATAAAATTAGAAGATTAAATTTGACTATATATATATATATATATTTTTTTTTTTTTTTTTTTTTTTTTTTTTTTTACAAAATTTGTTATCATCTGGAGATTGTGGTGATTTAAGACTTAACAAGGCATTTATATAGTGCCTGTCACCATGCTATCTTGGTGTTGTCAAAGTTTTTCCTGATGTAGGAAGGAAGTTTTGGGGAAACCCTAGTTTTCGGTTGGAGGAGTCGGACATGATGAGGGTATCTGCCGGTCTTCGTAAGAGCGTGCTCTCCAGGAGTGGCGTCCACATTGAGTAATTTCTAAACATCTTTTTTTTTTCTTTTTAAGGAATGTAAATTGAAAGCAGGGCTGCAAGGGGTGAGAGCTGGCCCGTGGGCTCAGGGAGTATGTCTTTGGGAAGGGGAGGCCCTGAGGGGCAAGGGAGCCAAAACCTTGTCAGCACGAGAGCTGCAGTCAGTGCTGTCATGAGTGAAGAGTCTCAGAATGATGAACGGTCCCCAAGGGAGTCAGCCATTTACCTGGGAAAGGGATGTGAAGGTTCCAGATTAAACAGGTCTGCCCTCCGGACTTCACCGACTCTCACTGGACTCTCACTGGCCTTCGCCGTCTCCTTATTTTCTCTGCGTTCTCTGCGTCCTTGGATGCCATATCCATCCGCCACTGTACCTGCCCAAGTCTGCCTGCCTGCCTTCCGCCCACTCCTTTTGTTCCACGCTTCCGGCTTCCAGCTGGTTGACTCAGAAATAGGGACAGCGGGTTATGAGGGGCAACAGTGTTAGGGGAAAAAACAAGAGAAACGGACAGGCTCATTTGACCCAACGCTGACTTTCAGATTTGTGTGATTTTACATAAATCTATATAAATTTTTAAAAAACTACACCTGGATGTCTTGTTGCTCTCAGAATATGAATGGGTCTTTAAGGAAAAACCTATTGAAAACAAACAAAACAAAAAAGATAAATTCCTTTTCAGTGGCCTAATTCACAGGAGGCAATACTAAGCCTAAAAGTGAGCAGCAGACTATATTACCAGTAGAGTATATCCCGGACTGTGCACTGTCGTGAGTTTTCTATGGAATAATATTTGAATTTTTGTAGAAAATGTGAACACAAGGCCCTTCACAGTTTACCTAATTTCATGGGAGACTGAATTAAAATATAAACAGGAAAGCAAGTTTTTTCCCCACCCCACTTAGTTTTTCAACAACTTTGTTAGCTAGGATCTTAAAAAGAAAGAAAGAAACCAAGGAAGACAACAAGGGATCTAAGACCAAAATCTAGAATTATACATTTTAGTTTCTAGGCTGAGTTCTACCTTAGAATTGCTTTTCAAGTCCCATTTGAATGTATGCTGCTCAGTTTTCTCTTATTAAAGGATAAATAGACCACTACAGTGGTGTTAAATTACCATACTGAAAAAGTGATTTATGATTCAGAGACCAAAATTCCAATGTGGGAACCAGAAACATTTTAGTTAGAAAATTGGTTTCAGGTGGCACTAATATTACTGGGGTCCTAAGATGTTCCACTTCAATCCACATTACACATAGAAATTCAGCAAGGCTTGGGGCGCCAGGGTGGCGCAGTCGGTTAAGCGTCCGACTTCAGCCAGGTCACGATCTCGCGGTCCGGGAGTTCGAGCCCCGCGTCGGGCTCTGGGCTGATGGCTCAGAGCCTGGAGCCTGTTTCCGATTCTGTGTCTCCCTCTCTCTCTGCCCCTCGCCCGTTCATGCTCTGTCTCTCTCTGTCCCAAAAATAAATAAACGTTGAAAAAAAAAAGAAAGAAATTCAGCAAGGCTTTTGGGTCTCAGGATTGGGAAAAAGTGGGGCTTTCTGAATCTGCTCTTTAGGAGGCTGGCTGTAGTTCACATCAGCTCCAACCACAGGGTGTCCACGAGGGGAAACCAAGTGCCTGATGGATCTTTTTAAGTCAGTCAAGTTCAGTGTAACCCCCAACTAGGACCCTCTTGAAAAAGTCCCTTCTCAGCTCACCACAGTAATAGACCAACAGCCTGGGCCTTTGTCGCTTCATCCTATTTGAGATGTCAGGGTTGAAGCATGTTTGCCTATGTTTATTGCCACAGGGCTTTGCATTATAGGGCTTTTTTTTGGTCCCTGCTCACCTGACATGTAGCTCAAATGCCATTATTCTTGGCTTCACCAGTGTGTACAAGTTGCTTATAAACCAAATCAAGATGTAAACAACAGCTGGATTCTTAAGGAGCCACATGATTCCAGGTGGAAATCTGCTTTCAGGGTTTTGCCTCACACTGGATTTGGTCTGTGTTTTCCCTATATGGTGCCAGAAAGCTACATGGTTATTAAGGGTTTGAACCAGATACTCAGGCAGTCACATGCCCACGGTACAGGGTGATCTCACTGAACAACTCATGTTTCTAGGATGTTGGGAAATTCAGACTTGTTGAAAGACCTTGTCTTTACAATGTGAGGATGTCAGTGGTTGATATGATTCAGCAGCAATTCTAATCTGAATTTCAAAACAAGTGGCTTCTTGCTCAAGGGGACATCTGAATTTTAGATCATCTACTTACCAAAGTCTTCAGCTTGATCCCTAAACTAACTCAAATAGACAGAGTAAAATTAGATCTCCTCTCTCCAAGAAAATCATCTTGGATGAGTTCACATTTTCAATGCACCAAGGCTTTCATTGCCCTTAATGAAAACAAAAGGGGATTCTGCAGGCCATTTTTCATGCAGCCCCCTGTGCTCCCCAACTCCACTTTGTACTGAGCTGACATTCCCACTTTGGCTTCTAAGTTCTGGCTTCTGGGTCTGATGGAGTCAAGGGCCTAGTATTCCAGTCTCAATTTGGTCATGGACAAAGCAATCATCATCTATATAATTGGAAGACATTATTAATAGGTATATCAGAGTAAAGCTTTTTTTTTTTTTTTTTTTTTTTCTTTTCTGGGTCATTTAAGGACAGTTCCCATGGGTTCCTGAAAAACAGTTTATTCCGCTAGAGGACTATTTGCACAGAGCTTAATGAGATATTAATGCAGAGCCTAATAGGACCTTAAAAGTCATTCACAGGGTTGTATCATTTTCTGTAGATGTACTTCACTAAACAAATACAATATAGATTTGAACATGTGAAATTATTGAGAAAAAAACCAGGTGGTAACAATTCACTTTACCAAGGTTCACTATTTAATTATGAACTTCCCTAGTGCATTTAAATCACTCATTTGTTGACTGAAGTTTGTCTATCTGAAACAATGTTTCAATCAGCTGTTTTTTTTTTTAAGAGACCAGGATCGTGTTCTTTAAAGACATGGATTAATAAGCTATTAAAGTATAAAATTCAGAACCATTCAACTATTATCATCATCTCATTGTAGTTCCCATTCTCCTTTCACAAAAGTTCTCTGAAGGGGCTACTGGGAGAAGAACTTGGCTCCTTCCAATTAGCTAGACATTGTAGTCTGACAACATTTTCGTCTTCCCCCATGTGCTATACTGACTTTCCACTAAGAACATCAGTGGAAGTGGCTCCGTATTTCTCAAATGAGTATTTTTAGAACTGTTCATTTATGCAAGATAGTCTCATGAATTTCAGAATTTTTATCTACTTGGGAATTAAGTCAGCATTGACTTGCTTCCTTCATTCATATCTACTCTTGGTTATTTTTTTCTTCAGCGCGACAGAAAGGATAGCTTAAGACATAAAGCTTTGTAAAAGCATTTGGTTTTGGATGAAGTATTTAGGGCTGAGGGAGGGTATATACTCAGTAGCCTCAGGCCTCTCCTGAGAAGTGTAGAAGCAGAACCATCAAGCCAAAGCTGTGGACGTAAATTCCAGCTCCTGGCAATTACCAGCCATGTGACCTTGGACAATGGCTCTGAGCCTATTTGCTCCATGCAAAATGAGGATAATGTGTAACATTTATACCATAGAGTTGTAGAGAAGACTGAAAGAATTATGTAAAACAACACAATGCCTGGAACATGAGTATTCCATAAATCGTGGCTATTACTGTTGAGGTTATTATTGTCTGGGAAGACAATACTGTTCTTGTCCGGTCACCTTCTTGCCGATGTCACTTACTTTATTCTCTAGTTCATAGTAGATTCACTTTCCCTCTGGCTAAAAGGTATAGCTATTCCATTTCTGTGCACATAGGCCAATTAGCTTAACCAGGATGAAACTGGGTGTGCATGTGTACATTAAGGTAATAATTTCTAAAACAGACACCAATTTTAAATCTAATTTCATAAATTCTGTAAAATAAACAATACTTCATGCTTAGACTAATTTACATGGGAAAAATTATAGGCTAAGTGGTTATTTAGTGTTACATGTTAATGTTAATAACATTTTTGTATCTCTAGAACTAATTTCCTTAATGTGAACTTAGATAATGTTTAATTTGGATAAAGTACACATTATTTTGGATGAGATGGTGTTGAATGGCTGCATTGTGGAAACGAATCGGGCAAGAATTCTTGCCCCTCTACTCATTCTTGATAAAATGTCAGAAAGCTGAATAATGGAAGTCTCTGCCAGACAACATCAACTTGTGGAAGTGAGAATACCATGGAATACCTCTTTACATCTGTAGCCCAAAAAGTCTGCAAGACTGTACCCTGCAAAATGGGGTACCCTTCCAAAGACATTTTATATAGGTGTTTTCCACAGTTCCTAAGTGGAAAACAAACTGTATTTTAAAATATGGTGTACAAAGAAAATTTTTCTCTAAGAGACAAATTTTATTTTCTAACCATAAGCATTTTTTCCCCACTTGTTCAACTTTTGTTGAGTTCTGAGGGTATCTTTTTTGTTCTTCGCTTTCCTTTGTATATTTAATTCAGGATAGCAGCATGAGAAGAACATGAGACAACTATCAGCCAATAAAGTTCTAAACACAGAGCACTTCGAATGTTTTCTGAATGCTTTTTCCTTAAAATGTCTTAAGTCCAAACTTCACTGAATTGTGTACCTAATAAAAATCGAGAATTAAATTTGATTTGCCAGTTTCTAAAAGCCTAATATCCATTTTATTGGCACTTGGTAATTACAATGTCGTCATGTAATTGATTCACTTATAATGTTACTACCAAAAACTGAGTGGTTATACATTAAAGGAGAGCCTTTACAACCATACTTTAGGCAATGCTGTAAATGGTTTGTCTTATTAGTAAACTTATTTGTAAATGAAGTTTACTTTAGTTCAAAGTCTAAAAACAGAATGCAAGAGAGTATCTCTGTTCAGGTTGGCAGGATATGAAGCCTTCTCCCCCACTCCCTATCTTATTCCTTTGACTCCTTGACATGTCTGGAAGCAAAGAGAACTTAGTCACCATAGAAAACCAATGACCTAATCCTTCTCAACTTTTCTAGATGTTTTTGCTGCTCAGTAGAGCACAAAGAACTGTCTTAGGTAGAAAACATGTTTATGTGCATATAGGGTAGAAAGGCAGATATAATGGAGGAAACAAATATGATCATGGTACTTTAAGATATTGTGCCATCCTATGGAATTCCAGGAGTTCTTTCATCTACAATACTATTCTCCAAAAGAAGACATAAATGGACATTCCAGGCACTGATGATTCATTCAGTACTGTTTTTGTGTATGTGTGTATGGGTTTAAGTCTTTGTTTCTAAAAATCTACTTACATATTTAAAGTTTGCATCTATAAAGATCCAAACAACCAGTCAATAATGGATTCTAAAAGCAAACCGGAGTTCGTTTAGACCCATTCAGAAAAGCAGAAGAAAGGCTTCTGACCTGCCAGAACAATGTGTATTGATCCCATACCTTTGCATTAAGTAGCCAAGGTCTGGGGAAAGCCCAGCGTAGATGAAAGTGCTTTGGAGGTCTTTCTAAGACATATTAGTTGGGAAACACTGTCCTAGTTG